ATTTCCTCCTCTCTCTCTCTTCCTTCTTTGTTCTGCTTTGCCTAATTTCTTTGTTTTCCTCCCGTGTCTTTACCTTTCTCTGTTTCTCAGGGGAATTACTCTTGTTCAACCGACCGACCAGCCTTTGTATCCCTCCACTTCACCTCCCTCCATCTGTCTACCTCTTCCTTCTTTTACCCTCTCCATCTCTCTCTTACTCCTTTGTGCACAGTCACCTTGAGGCGGTGTGGCCACAGCTGGAATAAAAAAGCCTTTCTGGTCAGCTTGTGCTGCAGCGTGCAAACAAAGAAGCTCCAGGACTGAGGCTGGAAGCACAGCAGCAGCGTTCAGCGGATCTGCAGCTCGCCTCAGTGCGAGCGTCTGAAAGGGAAGCGTGGCGCTTCTTCTCCAGCGAGACGACAACAGTGAGGAGGAGCGATGGGAGTTAATGTACAGCTGCAGAAAACACACGTGCCGTACTAGCTACACAATTAGCTGTTGTTTAGCTGCGCTAGCTGAAGAATACGTGTTTATTCACCTGACTGAATTGAAATTCTTTTTTTTACTAACACTCTTGTTAACACCTGCCTCATTCCTCACTGCCTGAATATAATAATATTATTGTTATTTAATTCGATGGAAAATTGGCTTATTTTTTAAGAGCTGAAGATGACGCGTAGTTGCCAAAACTCATAAACTCTGAAGTCTCAGCTCCACACATGCCCCTCCTCTTTGCCCATTTTTGGATTAGCTGGGAATTAGGGGCGGAGTCAGACACTGCCAAGATGGCGACGGCGAAGCAGCTCACTCTGAGGCGACGTACATCTTTATTTTCACATTTTCACATCACTCTTTGATCCATCGTTCCATCCAGCCTCACAAGGTCAAAGCTGTTCATTTATTCTGCTTATCGTCACCTGATGGGCACCAGCGTGACCCAACTTTCATTATCCTCCACTCTGCTCCACCACTCCTCTGGCTGTCCATCACATATTCATTCATTCATTCATTTATTCACAGGGTGAAGGGACACTGTGTTCAACAGTTCACTCAAACCTGAATGAAACAGAAACACTGTCTGAAACAATCCAGCGACACACATGATTGAGGCCGGGAGGAAAATAGAGATCCAGCAGCCAGTTCACTCTGTTGACGAGACGTAAACAAAGAAGATTCAGAAGATGTTTCTGTTTATTTTATCTGCCGCACCATCCTTTCTTCCTCTCTCCCTTCCATCACTCCTTCCCCCCCGTCGAGCCTCCTCACCTTCAGATGACAAAACACCTGGAGAAGACACACCCTCTCCATCCTCCCCCACCACCTTCCATACATCCTAACCTACATCCTTCTGTGACTCTAACCCAATCATCCTGTCTTCATCAAATCCCACCTTGCCTCCTCCAAAGGTCAAACAGCTGGAATGGATCGATGGTTTTACGGAGGGATGGGAGGGAGGGAAAAAAGAGAGAGAGAGATGAGAGAGGGAGAGACAAAAATGGAGAGGTATGAGTGAGAGAGGGAGTAAAGGCTTTGACATGGAGGAGGGAGAGGGCAATCCAAGAGGGGGAGGACAGGAGGAGGAGGAGGACAGACGGAGGGAGACGGGATAAAAAAAAATCCTCGCATCAGCATTCCTCTGCGTCTCTATGGGAGCAGCAGGAGGGAGGGAGGGAGGGAGGGAGGGAGAATGGAAGGTGATAATAAATGGGGAGAATGAGATGGAGGGAGCGAGGGAGGGATGGAGGCTGGGGGAGGTGGTGTCAGTCTGTCAGGGAGGGACGGGAGAAAAGGAGAATATAGAGAAAATTAAGAAGAGAGGCGACGTCTCCCTTCTCCTTGTCTGTTTGTTTGTGTTGTTTGTTTGTTTGTTTGTTTGTGTTGTTTGTTTGTTTACTCACAGACTGGTAAACAACAGAGGAGTGTGTTGGCCTGAGAGCAGAGTGAGGTAAATACACTGACACTCTCTCAGACAATAACAGATAGTTCACAATATACTAGCATACAGCTTCACAGATAGCTAACACTGCACACATAGGCCTACAACAAAAACAATAGCAACGTAGACTAGCATTTAGCTAACTCACCCAGCTAACAGTGTTTTATACACAATGATGCTTCTTTCTTGTTTAATAAAATTTATATTTGTTTAATTTGGGCTGTTTAACACGTTTTAAGTTCTGTTGACTTTATATCCATTGGTTAAGTTTACTTAAGAATTGAGTTGTGTCTATTTAATTTAGTGAAGTTGTTCCAACTTAAAAATGGCAACTAAAGTTAACTTGCTCTTTTTAAGTGTGTGCTAGTCTCTGGTTACTGGAGGCTAACGGCTAATAATGGCGCTGTAACTTGTATGAAGTTTGCCATGGTATCAGAGGAAACACGTGATGTCTTTTGGAAAAAAATAAAAAATTATATGCTTTGCTTAAATTCATGATGATCATTTTAAGGGGAGTTAGTTGGTAACACGCTTTTTAATTCGATGAGCACGGCTGACATTGTTTTTCTCAAGTTAAAAATTAATTTTCAGCTCATAATAATCTAAATGTTTAGTTTTTTAACCTTTAGTTCACATTATTCTGTGAAGTAAAGTCCTGTCGCTAGTAAACAAGGAGGTAAATGCAGCTAATGTTAGCATACAATCACCAAACGCAAGTGTAGGCTACAGAAGTCGCTAACACGGTGGTAATAATGTGCTAACATATGGTTTAGCTTTAGCTGCTATTAGCTACAGCTGAGGTGACAGTGACATATTAGCAACAGCAGCTCATTAACATATGCAGATTAAGTGGAAAGAGCTGAGAAGTTGTATTTCATTATAAAAATGCATAACACACTAAACTAGCAATATCTTTACCTACAGCATTAGCTCTGTAGAGACAGAGAGCTGCGTTTGTTTGTGTTGTTTCACACTGAGATGATCGGCGCGGCCTCACTTCCTGTATGACAGAGTAGGACCTGTTTGGTTTGCAGAGACTGAGCCTTCTGCACTTCACAGTAAAATATTGAAAACCTCCAGCAGCACAGAAAAAGGTCTCACCCCGTACACCTCTGCTTTTTCAAGAACATCAATATCAGTCCAGACTGGATGCTGCAGCCGCCACCACAACACGATCAATAATTCACAAACCTGCTTTACACCTGTGAATCACCAAAGCCTCTGTTGTCTATGTGCTTAAATGCCTTTTGTGTCCAGTCTGCTTTATATATATCTATATTCTTATAACTTGATCTCTCTCTCTCTCCAAAAGGGTTTTTCTCATCTCACCTTCATTTTGTCCAGCTTGAATTCTCTCATTGATTCTGTATGATCAAAGGTGAGACATTCCTGTGTTTGAGCAAGCGGGCACACACACACACACACACACTAACAAACACACCCACACACACACACACACACACACACACACGGGTTCCATGAATCATATCAGCTATGTGAAGAATTCCCCTCTCTGCAGGGTTAGCATAACTCAACACAACAGACCCAAACACAGCTTATGAAACCATGTTACTCAGGCCGCCAGCAAACAGACAGAGAGCCCCTCAGCATGGCAGGCATCTGGTCAGTCAACGGGCTAAAGACTTCTACTCATACTCTTCACATATTCATTCTGTGCACAGACAGTGTTCAAGACTCGGATTGATGCTGAATCATCAAAACAACAAATGAGGAACTGTGTTAAAAATATCTTTGATTTAGCTAACTGTTCTGACCCTTCTGCTAGTCTCTGGTTCTGGTCTCCACACACTCCTCCTCTGAGTCTGGGTCTGACTGAGGCTCAAACATGTGGCTGAGTCTCTCTGATGTTTCCTCCTCTCACCATCTTGATGCTCTCTGCTCTTTCACCTGTCCACCTGGAGCCAGCAGGTGGTGGGCGGGGCTCAAGGCCTGATCCAGATTTCTCAACCAGGAAGTGAGAGGAGATGAGCATCAGACCCAGTTTTTATGTGTGAAAACATGTGAAACTAAATATGAATCACAGCAGAGGATTTTTTGAGTTTTAAAAAGTGTCTGGAGGAAGTTTAACTCTCGTAAAAAGAGGATTCTTTGTAATGAGCGTGAGACAGGACTGTCAACACAACACAGTTAAAGGAGGGAGTGAAGTATCTCCAATCTGTCACACGCTCCATTTCACACTCGCTGATGAACAAGAAGGACAACAAAGTAGTTTACTCAGAGAAACCAGCTGCTGTAAAGTCAGCAGCGTGACACATCGAGCGTCCCGGCCGTCCCCTGACAGTAAACTGGCAATTGTATCGAGGGAACACACAGTTCAGCCAGACCGGAGCAGACAGACCCACATCCCCTGCCAGCAGCCCAGCCATCCATCCAAGCCTGACCCACATCAGGGGCCTGGTCCTGGGCCAAGGCCATGACCATCAGACCATCAGGCATCAGGGAAAAGAGACAATGAGCAGAACGACAGGGCTTCATTTTCTGCTTTTCACTCACTTCAGGAGAGTCCGTCTCGGTTCGCCCACAGTGAAGGCTGCAACATCAATTTGTCTTTATTTATTTCATTTTGGAAAAAGGGAACACAACGCCAACTCTGCTTTGTTTATTTTCACTTCAGCTCACCCCGACATCAAATTTAAGTCTTCCCTTTCATTGCAGTGCTTTACTGACTACACACTTCCTGTAACAGAAAAGTCTCTGGAGCGGCAGCAGAGTGACAGAAACAAAGTCAACACCAGATAAAAACAGAGACGGGCTCTCCTGAGGCAAAGTGAGCTCAGTAAACACAGTTTCCTTCAAAGACGACAGGATGAATAAGGATCTGCCTGAACCGCAGTGTTTAGCTGAGATCTTCACTTTGGAGAAAACTGGAGGAGACTCTATAAACTAAATTCATCTGAGAAAACTCTCACCACTAGAAACGGTTCCAACCTGCAGCAGTTTCATTCAGCTCTGAACGTCTGTTAAAGAACCGTAAAGGAGCCTCTTCACCGAGCCATGAACTCATTTATGCACCAGCATTCAGCAGCTGGCTTCACAGGTCACAGTCTGGACACTCTGATCTTACCTTGTCGATCTCCTGCTGCAGGACCTGTTTGGCGACCTCCAGGTCCTGCAGTCGGACCCTCAGCTCCTCGTTCTCCTTCTCCAGACGAGTCCTCTTCTTCTCCACGCTGTCCAGCTGGCTGTGGAGACGGATGGACACGTCCTTCGCCACCTGAGAGGGAGGGACGGAGGGGAGAGGAGTTAAGCGCCAGCAAGCCACACACTGAACCAAAGGCATGATGGGAACTCTCACACACACGGATAAATAACTTTTATCTGTTTCTGTTTTTTAATAATATCTGACACTACGGTTCCCAGCGGGAGTCCCAGCTTAAATAGTGTTGATGACTGACTGGACGGCACCATGCTCCTGCAGCATCGTGGGAAGAGGCAGCGTTTTCTAGTTTGATCATTTCCTTGACAGTTCCCCCATGTTTGAGTCGGTGAGGTCAGTTTGTGCTTGTGTTCACGTCTGCTGGCGCTGGAGTTTAGTTCTGTTGCGTTGGCTTCTTCTCTGGGCCCAGAATTATAGTTAGAAGTATTTTTGTTTTGGTTTTTTGCCTTTTATAAATAAAAATGGACATTATTTTTCAAAAAACTACCTGTTTAACTGAATGAGACTAGAGGTGATATTTCTACAGTTCATGTGGCTCGTGCACGTGAAGCTTTACATACAAGTGGACTGAAACTTTAGGTTCTTAAGGATCAAAGAGAAAATGACACGTGACAAAATCAATAAAAACATACACACAAAGTCACTTTCAAAACTTCAAAATGTGGTGACTGTTCTGTCTCTTTTTAGATGTTGTTGTCACTTTTATAATAATGTAGTGACTGGTGTTTGTTGACACGACCAGAGAGAGTCATCAGCACCACTCTCCATGTTTCACTTTGCTAAAACCCACAACAGCTGGGAATCTTCTACTGTGCCGACAGAAACAAGCAGACAAACTTATAATATAATGATTTTATCCCTTATTTTAAGTGATGCGTGTGCATGACTCATATTCTTCTGTACAATAAAGTACACAAGGTGGTGAGAGGAGCAGTAAACATCTTAATTCACCGGTGCTGCTGCTGCAGCCTTTAAACCGTCATCATGGGACTTTACTCAGAGATTTCTTTTCATGTTTCTAATCTGTGTTCAGGTAAAAGACAGAATCTTGGCTCTGTGTGTGTGTGTGTGTGTGTGTGTGCATGACTCATATTCTTCTGTACAATAAAGTACACAAGGTGGTGAGAGGAGCAGTAAACATCTTAATTCACCGGTGCTGCTGCTGCAGCCTTTAAACCGTCATCATGGGACTTTACTCAGAGATTTCTTTTCATGTTTCTAATCTGTGTTCAGGTAAAAGACAGAATCTTGGCTCTGTGTGTGTGTGTGTGTGTGTGTGTGTGTGTGTGTGTGTGTGTGTGTGTGTGTGTGTGTGTGTGTG